ACATTCTACACTTATAATATCTAAACAAAAACACTAGGATGGGATATCAGCAAATCCTGGAAGGACTGTAATATATCAGGATTGATCCAGTAGTTTTGCATCCACCAGGGGGTGAGTTAGGATGTTGTGTGGGCAGGAATAATCTGAGGAATGGGTGCACTCTGCATCTCTGCTGGTGAGAGGTGGGTGTCAGTTTGGGAATGCTACTGCCCAGTGTCTCACTGTTGCTTTTATTTTCTTAATAAAGCTGCATGTTAAATTAAATCAAATCCTTATAGGTTCCAAGTATTTCAAAAGACTGCCTGTACTGTGCTACAGATGCTGGTGATAAATCAAAATACTGATTTATGGAAGTGGTAATAATGATGGAACATTCCATCCACTCTTTGTTGGTTTTTCTAGTTATTGTAGGACTTTAGGACTGATTTGTGGTTGGAGCTTTTACCATCCCGTCTCCAGCACTAGGAGCTGGTGTGGTGGTGGGCAGGCAGGATGCAGGGGTGAGGATAAGCTGTGCTTTTCAGGATGGCACAAAAAAGCACTAAGGATGCTTTTATTTCAATAGATCCCCTTGCTGGTGGTCGTGGCTGTCTGTAATAAAGGACATGCAGGGGCTGGTGATTATACCAGGGATGTTCCTGCACTGCTGAGCAGCACAGGGTCAGCTCTGAGTGTTGGAACCAGGTTGTTCCTGGCCTAGAGAAATGATTGGAGCTCTCCCAGCAGCTCCCACTCCAGAAAATGTAGAGCCAAAAGTTCCTGCTGAACTAGGAGAGGCTGAAGCAAAGTAACTGCAATGTTTGAGTGGATTGCCAGGCACCTCTTTGCCTGCAGAGTAGAGATGGTCATTAATGTCAGATAACCATTACTGAGATCATGCATTCAAGAGAAAATAATGAGATGGTTTTCAATAATTCAAATATTTCTCTTTTCCAGTCATTTCTTTTCTTCTACCTTTTGTGTACACAGGCTTTCCCTCTTTAACCCATCTGATCTTTTACTTGGAAGAACTGTAATAAATGTAGGTGTTCATCCTTTATTCTAACAGGCAATTGTGTGAAACCTGAAGCTCTGCAGATTCCAAGGAATAGGTGTCATTTGTTGTGGACACACTCCTCTATAAATCTGTAGCCTCTCTTGCTTTTTGTAGCATATTACTCATTTTTATTTTTCCTTTCTTGCCCCCACTCAGCCCTCTGGGGTTTTTTTCCCTCTCTTTTCTTCCCTTTTCTTTTTGACTTTTTTCCTCCCCTCTCCCTTTTTGCTTTCCAGCTTCAGTCATTTCAGAACATGTTGTTATGGATCCCTTTTATTCTCGTGTCAACGTTTCAACCCTCATCAAAGATCCCATCAGTCAAAACCAGATTCTGTACTCACACATAAACCCCCACCCAAATTCTCTGATGTTGTCATGAAGGGCTCAGACACATTTTTCCTTCTGGGAAGAAGGAGAGAAGTGGGAAGGGGAGGAGGGGGTTGCTGCTAGAGACTCTCTTAATTTCATCCATCTTAAAATGGATATTTTGTCTACACTGCCACTGCCACCCAACTTCTGGGCTCTCTCAGCCAGTTCATGTTTTCTTTCAGCACTTTGCTGTCTACCTGCACAGAGTTTCCTGCTCTTGTCAGGAGATAGAGTTAAGTAGTTTACTCCCTAAATTCCACTGCAGTGGAATTTATTCTTGTCTCCCCTTTTTTTCCTGCTTCTATTGCAGCTTTCATGCCATTGCTTCATCCTTAAGTGGTGTTTTATGTCAGATGAGGGACAGATATTTTTCTGAAAAATGGAGCCTCCCCCCCTCAGCCATGAAACAGTCCTGGGCTCATTACTCTGTGGAAGGAAAGCTCAACAAAAGCTGGGATGAGAGAGAGCTGCTTGATGACAGAAACAAAACATAACTTCCAGTGTATTTGTCTTGGAGTAAAAGTAATGTATGCCCTCTATTGAGCAGGTAACCTATCGATTACAGCACAGCCAGAGCACTCTCAAATCCCTACCAGCCTTTCCCTCTAATGGATATTAATGTCTCCAGCTTTTCTCATGTTGCTTTGGAGAAATATTAAGGGTTACAGCCAATCTAAAAAGAATTGCTCAACAGTTCTGGTATCTTCTGACTTTAAGAGCCACTTAATCAACTTTGTAGTTGTCTAAGAATACTGATAAATTTGCATTCGTGTTATGTAATTTAAAGATAAAATGATTCATGTTTCGTCTATTTAAAAAAAAAATATTCTGCAGAGGCTTCCTTCTACTGTCTGAAGAGAGATTACATAAAGAAATGTGCTACTGAGTGCATTTATCAACTAGAAAAAGGCTCCCCTTTTATCTGAGTAGCTTTTCTAAGTGTCTCTGTTTCCTTTTCCCACTGTGTTTTGTATAAATTCGGGAACATCAGGAATATAATTTCTGACACATCACTGGGGACAGATCTGGAGGGATGAACACTGTTGCCCTTGCACATCAGTGGAAGGCTGGGGATGTCGAGCCTTTACCAAGGCAGCTGTTCCCAAAATGTTCAATCATTGTTAAATAAGCTAACAAATAGGAATTGTTGAAAACAGAGCAGGTATCTCATCTCTGCATTGTTCAGTTTGATTTCTCTTGTGTAACTACTGTAGGGTAGTTTTTCAGTTACTACAGCATGATAAATATTGATTAATGTACAAATTTCCTACAAACATATACATGCAAGTACATATTTATTAAGAGGTCATGTCATAAAAAGATATAAAAGAAACCTGTTGCAGTACATTTCAGCTTCTTATATTACCAAAGTTAAGTGAAAAAGGTTAAATGTTCTCTGCATCTGATTATCTGTCGTTAAAAATGAAAAACATTTTATTACTCAGGGTTTTATATTAATGTTTAACAGACAATCTTTCACCTGAAAACAATTTTACACTCAGGACAGAGCTCTGTCTCAGTTTGCATTGCTTCTGCTGGTAGACTTAGTTGATCAAGAAGATTTTTTGGATAAAACCCTCTGGTTTCCTCCCAATTTATTTTGGTAATTTTTTTTTTTTTTTAATTATTTTCTGGCCCCCAGAGTTCCAGCCCCCTCCCTGTCTTTTTACTTCTTTTTTTACTTCTTCTCTGCCTACTTGTGCTCCCCCAGAAAACTTTTCTGTGCCAGGTCTTGGCACAGCCCCTGTCTCTGCGGAGGTTCAGGGAGAGTTTTGTTTTCCAGCTTCTGAACAATGATCAAAGCTGTCACATCACTCAGTTCTATTTCATCCATGTGAAATTTCTTCCTTACTCTCACAATTCTTTTATCTTTGTTTCAGCTACCAGCAGCTCCAAAAGTCAGATTCACTCTATGAATATGCATAAAATTTGTGTTTGGCTGCTCCCTTCTATAGCAGGACTGTTCTCCATCCTCTCTTCAAGCCCTGCAGAAGTTTGGAAGTCAGGGGAAGTTTGAAGTTATTTTATCCAGAGGCTGAGGGTTCCTGCAGTACAGGGATGTTTGTGGCTGGCTGAAGAGTTTTCTTTACCTTTTTCCATTCTGAAACTGCTCCTCAGGGATTTCCTCCCCTCAGTGCCTCCACAGCACCACAGAGTCAGGGCATTCTTCAAGTTGTGTCTCTCTGTGCTTTCTCTTTATCTCTGATTTGGTTGTAAAGTTATGCTTTTTAAACCTTGTTTAGCTATCTGGGTCTTTTATAACCATTTTAATATCATTCTCACCATCACACAGAATAAGTCCAGTTTTAGTATTTCTCAATTAGATTATTTTTGGCTGGTTTTTGAATTCTAGTAGAATGGAGGTTTAATTGGGTTGATACGGTGCCAAAATTTATGTTATTTTTTAGCAACTTGTTTTTATTTATAAAATAAGAAGTTGTAACATCAAGCAATGTGATTCCATAATACTGAAAGCTGATCAGCTCTGTGGTGTGTTGAGTGTGCATGGAAAGAAGAAAGAATTTCATTATTTGATGTTTAGTTTGCAAGCGTAAAGCCAGAGGCCAAACAGTTGGAAGAAGAGCTTTCTAAAACCAGGTTACTTTATTAACTCACAGCTAGTGTGCAGGGGTTTGATTAGAGTTAAACCTCAGAATCATGGAATCACAGGATGGTGTTGGGTGGAAGGGACATTTAGGGTCTTGCTCCATATGCTGCCATGGCAGGGACACCTTCCCCTGTCCCAGGCTGCTCCAGCCTGGCCTTGGGCACTGCCAGGGATCCAGGGGCAGCCACAGCTGCTCTGGGCACCCTGTGCCAGGGCCTGCCCACCCTCACAGGGAACAATTTCTAATTCCCAATATCCCATCCATCCCTGCCCTCTGGCAGTGGGAGCCATTCCCTGTGTCCTGTCACACCATGCCCTTGTCAGAGCCTCTCCACCTCTCTTACAGGCACTGGAAAGCTGCTTTAAGTTCTCCCCATAGCTTTGTAATAATTTGTAAGTTGTGGTTCTGCCAGAGCCATGCCTGTGTGTGTGACACCACACATGACAGAAAAAGCCACGTGGGTGTGACCGTGTTCACAGGGGTTTGGATGGGGGAAGAGATGAGGATCTAACTCCATGTTTCAGAAGGCTTGATTTATTATTTTATGATATATATTACATTAAAACTACACTAAAAGAATAGAAGAAAGGATTTCCTCAGAAGGCTACTTAAGAATAGAATAGGGAGGAATGATAACAAAGGTTTGTGCCTTGGCTCTCTGTCTGAGCCAGCTGACTGTGATTGGCCATTAATTAGAAACAACCACATGAGACCAATCACAGATGCACCTGTTGCATCCCACAGCAGCAGATAACCATTGTTTACATTTTGTTCCTGAGGCCTTTCAGCTTCTCAGGAGGAAAAATCCTAAGGAAAGGATTTTCCATAAAAGATGTCTGCAACAACATGAGAGTTGGAATGTCTGGAACACAAAGGGAAGGGCAGTGAGGGCTTGCTTAGGCTGGCTCAGTAACACACTGTGTGCTGAACCAATGGATAAAAATTCCAATTCTTTCCCATTAATGCCCTGTCCATTGTCATTACAGGATGCCCTGAGCTTTCTCACATAGTGCGTTGGGGTTTGGTGAGTGACGCTGCTTTTCTCAGAATATTGCTCCCACCCTTGCCTGCTGAATGCAATCCACAAGCTGTGGGTGTCAGTCTGGAGGGAAAAAAAATTAAAAAAAAGTGTCTGAGCAGCAACATTTGTCTTCTTGATGTTTAAAAAAAAGGCACTTGGGGTAGCGGCTCTCGGTTCAGTTCTCACTTTTATCCTGCACTTAAACTTCTGATTAAGGTCATGCAGGACACCTTGTCATCTTTGCACCACTTAGCTTGACTTTTATCTGATGCTGGAGAACTCGCTAAGTTGTCTTTGAAGAATAATGTTCTGGGGAAAATGGATCTAAATGGATATATTGGGTAAAATAAATTCACCTGCAGGCCTGTGCAAAAGCACTGTAAATCTTGCCATGACCCTGTTCACTAAGGAGGTTTGTTGATAGCATTATATTAAATCAGGAGCAGCAGAGGAAGCTATAGATATATTCAGCAGTAACTGAAGAGGGAGAATTGCACGGCTTGTGGGATTACAGAATATGGAATTTTGTACTTCCAGGTCATTACTTTGACTTCAAATACACTCCTGGTAGTAATAAAAATCTGTTACCAGATGACAGCTCTCCAGTTTCATGTATGAAAGGAGCTGAGGTTTTCTCTGCACCTGGTAATGGGCAGATGCCTGCTGCAGAAAGAGTGTCACAACTGACACTATCAGCTACTCCTATTGACATCTCAGGGGGTGGGCAGCAGATAAATATCTCATTGCACACTCACCCCTTTGACCTTAGATTAGATTCTCCTCTGGTGTTCAGCAGGGAGCTGTGTGCAGGGAAAAGTTTAAGGGATAATATATCTCCCTCCTTTATATAGCATTGTTGAACAATGAACAGGAGGTAAAAATTGAGGGCAATTTCCAAATTATTGCTCATAAATTAAAGACTAGGTGTTATTCCTTATTTCATGTGGCAGCAAACAGGGTTTCAACAAGGGAGGCATCTGAAAGGAGGTGTAATTAATAAGTATTTTGGCATAGGCTAGCATTACTCTTTCTCCCTTATTCTCTGGGGCTTACCACTGTTGACACCACTGAATAAGAAAGCTAATTTATTCTGGATGTGTAGGTGTTACAGAATATAGCTGCTTTTGAAGGGAAGATGTGGTGTATTTAACATGTCTGATTTAAAGACAGTCGTCCTTTGGTGCCTGCAGAGGAGAATTCAGTGACAAGTCCCTGTGACTGCTGTGTGACTCACAAAGTGGGAAGTCCTACAGGAGCTCCCAAAGTGGCTTTTCTCTCCTGAAAACAAATCATGCCTCTCATGCCTTCTCTGGGGTTTGTTTTGCTCTCAGTGTGAGCAGTTTGATCTGAAGCTCTCGTTACCACAGGAATAAATGCAGAAAGCAGCCACCTGATGATTCCTGAGGTAGAGGCCACTGAGAAAATCCTCATCTGCCTTCAGATAACTGTGATTGCTGATAACCCAGCTGCTATGAGAAAGGAAAATGTGGATTTACACAAGATCCCATACACATAGGGATGTGTCACAGACATATTTTCTGAAAAATCCTTTTGCCAGGATCCTTTCTCCTGAGAATCTGAGAAGCTTCAGCTTCTCCATGTTTTGCTGGTTTGGAGTGTGATTTGGAGAATTGTTTACCCAGCATGTGAAATTGTTTTTACTTGATGACCAATGACAGCCACCTGTGCTGAGGCTGTGAGCACTCACAAGATTTTATTATTCATTCCCTTCTATTTTTTCCTAGCCTTCTGATGAAATCCTTTCTTCTATTCTTTAGTATAGTTTTGATATATCATTTTATTTTAATATATTAAATATATATTAAAATAAAATTATGCATAATATTGTATCATTTTATAAATGATATATTTATAAATATATCTATAATATATTATTTTATTTTATATATATAATAAAATAGTAAATCAGCCTTCTGAAACACGGAGTCAAGATTCTCCTCTCTTCCATCATCCTGGGACCCCCAAACACCACCCAGGGATGTGCAAGCAGAGGAGGAGGAGCAGGAGCAGCTCCTGGTGGTGACAGGAGGGCTGCAGGTACAAACATCCCTGTGCCAACACATGGGGCAGCATTTCCACCTGCAGCTCTTGTGCCAGCTCTTGGCTGGCTTGGAGGTGCTCTGCAGCCACTTGCCCATGGCTCACCATCAAGCAGAGAGAGGGCACATGTCCTTTCAAGCCCAACAAACTGCTCCTGGTGGCTGGAAATAATTCAGATACTGTTTATAAAGTGACAGATTGCACTGGGTGCACACCCTGCCTTTTGCTGGAGGCATTGCTGGTGCAGGGGATTTGAGGATGTAAGGAAGAGAAGCCTATAGAAAGCCCCCTGCAATTATCTAGGGGTTCAAGAGAAACAATATTATTTTCCTTTGCTCATGATCTTGATGTTCACCTTAAATTGGAAGTGTATTATACTTTTTTCTGGATCAGATCTTAAATAGGCTTGAGAGAAGTAACTTTACTTCTGCCACTCTTACTGTATAACCTGTTATATACAGCTTTTTAAATAAATGTAGTAATTTTTAAACAATTATGAAAATTAACATATCTCATTGCACAGTCACCTCTTTGACCTTAGATTAGATTCTTTTCTGGTATAATGTTAATTGCCCTGAAGGTACAAAGATGGGGCAAGATTTCCAGTACTATGTGGTTTTGTGTTTTCTGCTTGGAATTTTGATATTATTATGTGAAGCTTTAAACAGCAATGCTGATAGATTTTTTAGCATTGGAACCAACAGGAGCCAATAAAATCAGACTTGGCATGGAGCAGCAATCCTAATGCTGATGAACATGGCAAACATGTCCAGCTCCCACTTGGGGACAGTTGACACAGATGGCAGAACGGGTTTTACCATGTGCTATATGTCTTATTAATTGCTGTGCCCATTACTGTGAACTCCAGAGCCTTCTCCTTTGTTCCACTGCTGTGGACAGTTGGTCTGGTGTATGTTTACTGCAAACTATCAGATTTCTCTCTTTATTTTGTGGATATTGTGGGTTCTCTTCTCTCTCTTTCTCTTTTCTCTCTTTATCTTTCTCTTCTCCCTTTCTTTCTCTTCTCCCTTTCTTTCTCTTCCCCCTTTCTCCTCTCACTCTCTTTCCATCCCCCTGGACTTATTCATGTGACTTGTTTTGGGAAAGAAGATCAAATCCCACCCATTTCAGAGCTGGTTTAGCATTCTAAGCAGAGAATATTTGGAGTGACACTCTAAAAAACAGGTGAAGTGCTTGTGAGAATGCTTAGCAATGTTTGTACCCGTGGAATATGGGCAATTGTACCTTTGAGTCAAGTCTTTCAGGTTTGTTAAGATTTGGATGACCAGGGATGCTGTGTGATGTGATTTCTCAGGCTGAGCTGCTGCAAAAGCATTAAAATCATTCTGTGGAAAAGCAAATGGACAGAACTCACTGAAATCCCCAAACTGTAAACCCTGGAGGGACTCTGCCCCTGTTGCTACCTGGTGTGAGCCAGACAAAGAAAGCCTTGAAACTCAGTGCAGCACTGCATAAAGGATTCTGGGTAAAGTGAGGATATTAAACCAAGCTATGAAACAAAAAGCACAAATTTGATAAATTTTTGACAATTTTTAAAATCTGATAGCAACAAATAATGTGTTAATTGCTATATTTTCTGGTCTGACAGCACTATAAGCAGCCAGTGGGTAGCAGTAGGTACCCACTGGAGGAGAACAGTGTAAGTTAAATGTTTTCTCCCTCCTGGGCTTGTCCTAACTAGCTGGTGCCCTGCTCTGGGGAAGTTCATTGAGTTGTAATTGCCCCTCAGCAGCACTGTCCCTTACATCTCAAACTGAACCAGTGTCAGGTTTGCTGTAGTGGCAAAAGTGAATTGTAGTCAAATCCCCTCTCTGGTGGGCCTTAGCTGAGCAGTGGTTATGCTTGGAGGCTTGAAATTTAAGTGGGCTGACTCTGGGGGCTTCCAAGGAGTCAGAGAAGTCCTGGCAGTGTGACAATTAAATTAGGACATGAAATCTTTTATAAAACCATAAAATCATGTCCAGGGTACAAACACCCCTGGGAGCCAGGCAGGCTGTGCTGGCCCCCAGCAGCAGCTCATAGGGAGGATGTTCAGCACATTTCACCTTCCAACTCACACATTTCACCTGTGCCACTGCCTGCTGTGGCTGCTGGGTTTCACTGGTGCACTCAGCATTGGCAAAAGCCGTGTTTTTAACAATTACAGGCATATCTGTTAAATCTATGGAACTGCAGCATAGAAAATAACCTTCTTACAAGGCAATTACTGTGAAATGTTGTTCCTTCCTTGCAAGCACAACATAAACACACTAATTGCTAAAAGTTTTTGTCATTTGTGCTAAATAGCTGTTCTTCAATTATTTAAGAGTTTCAACAACAAAAAAAAAAAAGCAGAAAGAACCCCAAATGTTACCAAAATAGCCTTACCTCACATCTTTGTAACTAACACTTTGCATTTCACTTTTCATGCCAGCTTTCACAACATCAGACTGTGGTGCAATTATGAATTTTAAGAAATGCGTAATGATTTTTGACATATTTTTCTCCCTCCATTCTTTTCTGTTAAAGGATGGCACAGGTTTAAATCTCAAAACATTTGAATTACAAGATTTGAATGAGCTAATCAATAGCCCATTTTTTTTTGTTTGCTTTTTATATTCATTTTTTATATTCATTCTGTGATCACTCCAAGATCACAGAGTCCAATGCCCACCTTTTGTTTTACAGTCATCACATTATTTTGCTGTGTGTTGGTTTGTTCCTATTCATGTGCAAGGTTCTTTTGTGTTGTTTTGTTTTTTAAAGAACCTTGAGCCTGAAGTAGCTGTAAACCAGAGTTAGAACTATTCTTTTCCTCATTTAGAAAATGGCTAGAAAGTATGTGGTGGTTAGCTAAATCTTGAGTTGGTTTATTCCGTTTTATACAGGCTTTTATTGCAATACGATACACATTTTGTTCTTTAATCCCATAAGAATTGTAT